ACATTGTGTTATAATGGAAGTTCACCACTAATTCATGGCCTCAATGCTTTCTATGTTAAATTCCTCAATTTCAAGCAGGTGCAGCTCTTGTTTGCCTTAAGTTGAAACAAAGTGACAATCATTGCATGTCAAAGCAACACCTTATAGTGTGATTTACTAATAAAATCATCATTTAATTGATTATAAGAGAGAACTGGTTCCCGGAACTTCGAATGTACCAAAACAGGTACTTCGGATCTGACAAACAAGCAAACCACACCTTCATTTTCTAAATTTCACGCAATTTTTCTTATTATTTAAAATTATATGTCAAAATGTGTTCTTCAATGATCACCAGTCTTGCAGCTTTCATTTGATACCAAAATTTCCAAATTGTTCTTCATATTTTGAAAGTTACACCAATGTGTAAGAACTATTTTGTGTACTACTCTCTGATATTTGCTTTCTAACTGGGCTCAAATTAGTGGTGTTAAACCTATAACAGAACAAGACTTGTCAGGAGCCTGTAATTCAGTAGTTGCCGTTTGTTGCTGTGTTACATATTTCGTTTTTCGTTCATTTTTTTGTACATAAATTAGTCCGTTAGTTTTCTCGTTTGAATTGTTTACATTTGTCATTTCGGGCCTTTTATAGCTGACTATGCGGTATGGGCTTTGCTCTTTGTTGAAGGCCGTACGGTGACCTATTTTTTCAAAAATATAAACCATACCTCTGTGGTATGAAAAAAATTATGAAGAGTAATTCGTATATCCCATATATGTATGTCTCTGTGCTGAGTGCTCTTGAGTTTGTTTGTACTGTATTCCTGTCACTTAGTGTTGTCATTTTAGCGGCATTTTAAACATTGCCATATAAGCGGGAGTTTTGGATAGCCATAAAACCAAATGCAACCCACCGTTTTTTTCTGAAAATGTCCTGTATCAAGTCATGAATATGGCAGTTGTTATCTACAGTCCGTTTCTATGTACTTTGGCGTTTGCCTTAGTTGTAGTTCAGTGTTTCTGTAGTTCCGTTGTTTTCCTTTTATAGTTGATGTGTTTCACTCGGTTTTAGTTTGTAACCCGGATTTGTTTTCTCGCAATCGATGGATGACATTTAAACAGCGGTATACTACTGTTGCCTTTATTTTTTTTATCATTGATGTTATATTTAGTTCTGATATAAACATGTATATCAGTTTACACAGCTTTGTGATAGATATAAAACATGTATTGTAAGGTATAACTTTAATACATTAAAATATTTTTATCTCATACTTATTCTTGGTGGTAAATACTGACTTGCCTCAAATTTAACTAAATAGGTGGTAAATTCACAGTCAAGCATTTATAAATAGTACCGTTATTGAATAAAAAAATTTATCTTTAAATATTTTTTCATATGAAATAATTATTTTGTATAATAGAATAAAATTTATATATTTTTTTCAAAGGAAATAAATATTTTTCATTTTAAAATTAAATTGTGCCACATATCATAACCACATCACAGCTTAATGCCTCTTCTGAACTTTTGAAGGTTCCTACTATGTATAAGTTACCTAAGCTACACAAATAACCAGTAAAATATCGTTTCATCTCGACCTCTAGTACATGTAGTAAGTGTTCTACAACTACTCGTTTAGTGCTTTTAACTAGTTCATTAACTACCATCAAAGAACTTATAATTAACTTTTTTAATAAAATATATGAAAATAATGGAATTAACTATTTTTGGCGTGTAAAAAAAATCTTTAGATGTTTTAGATAAATTACGAGCTTTTGATGGTCCTTTTGATTCTGTTGACAGTTTTGACCTTCAACTCTTTACACTACACTTCCACACAATCTTAAAAACAAACGATTTCTTATTTAATCAAATGGTCGTTTGGTAAATTTGAATGCAAATATATTTGCTTCAACTCATTTACAGTACAGCCTTATTCTCGAATGAGAAAGGTAAATATGCTAAAATACTTACTGGAGTTGTGATAAGATGATTGAAGCTGTTAATTTTCTCCTTGATAATATTTATGTACGTTTTGGCAACAAAGTTTATCGATTTTAGGTTGAAGGTATTCCCATGAATACTAATTGCGCCCCTTTAATAGCAGACTTTTTCTTGTACTGTTATGAATCACAGTTTATGACCAAACTCAGTAAAGACCCGTTTAAATTGCATTCAATTGATAAATTCAGCAACTCTTACCGTTATCTTGATGATATTTTTTCGTTGCATAATCAAGAATTTTCTAAATATACTGCCGAAATTTACCCAAAGGAACTTACTTTAAATAAATCAAATATAAACGGTAATAACTGTCCTTTCCTAGATTTCGATATTTCAGTTTTTACACGGGGAACTCCACACTTAAATTAACGACAAAAGTACAATTTTTCGTTCCCTATTGTTAGTTTTCCTTTTTTGGATGGTGATGTTCCTTTGGCACCATCTTACGGTGTTTATATATCACAACTCGTTCGCCATGCCTGTGTCTGTTTTGACGTTTTGGATTTTAATGAACGTAATCAATGGTAAATTATTAAGTCAGGGATTTTATCGATCCTAAAATAAACTTATTCTAAAAGGTTACCAATTCAACAGTGTAATTAGATCTTTGAATATTTGTTTATATTGGTATTAATATTGATTTTGTTAACAGTGAGTTAAAAGCAAACTAAATATTATTGTTATATACATATGCATATTCATGGCTCTACAATCAGTCGATACCTGTATCTTTGCATTGCACAATGTCATGTTTTTCTCTGACTGTTTATGACGTCTTTACACTTAATCTATTGGATGTTGGATGTGTACTGATTGATAATTTAGTCTTAAATGAATGATTTTTTATATTAGTTGTTATTGGCTTTGAATTAGCTGTCAGTAACTGCGAGTACTCTCAGATCTGTACTTAGTGTCTTTTTGTTGTTGGGATGTACAAGTACTCGGCCACGTCCACTCTGTGTTTTTGTTAGATGTATTTTTATTTGTATCCATCTGATGAGTTAAGCCCTTTTCAACTGATTTTTATAGTTTGTTCTTATGTTTTACTCGTACACCACTGTCCCAGGTTAGGGGAAGGTTGGGCGCCCGCAAGGTTGTTTAAACCCTTCAAATTCTACATGTGCCTGTCCCAAGTCAGGAGCCTGTAATTCAGTGGTTGTCGTTTGTTGCTGTGTTACGTAAATTGTTTTTGTTCATTATTTTGTACATAAATTAGGCCGTTAGTTTTCTCGTTTGAATTGTTTTACATTGTCATTTCGGGGCCTTTTAAAGCTAACTATGCGATATGGGCTTTGCTCATAGTTGAAGGCCGTACGGTGACCTATAGTTGTTAATTTCTGTGTCATTTGGTCTCTTCTGGAAGAGTTGTCTCATTGGCAATCATACCATATCTTTTCTATTTTATACTAACAATATATGTTAGATTCAAATTTGTTTGAAGAGAAAAAAAGTGGCGCCTTGAAGTGTATTTTACTTAATTTTGCATTATAACATTGATCAAATTTTATACTTTGAATACTGATTTATACAAGTGGTCTTTATGCTTACCATTATTCTAGCTTACCAGTTCAATGGATTTTCTCAAGTGCAGGTACTGATTTTGTTGTTTTTTATGATATTGAATGATGATAAAAATTCGAGTTACAGACATCATGTCAATATATCTTATAGCAATACTATGATTATATTATGCTCAAATATAAGGAAACTCTAGTCAAAGTTAGTATATGAAAGCATCCTATCAGGAGGTCAACTATCTTGCTATTGTAATGGGTTTTTACATAACAATTGACCTCCTGATTAACAAAATGGAAGAAGACAATTGTTGCAAATTTGTAGAAAAAATTCATGCAGAAATTACTAATCACAGAGGCAGTCAAAATATTTAGTCTACATTTGTTATGAACTACTACTATAAACTACTGTCACAATGTTTCAAGTACAGGTCAGTGTAAAATTCAAACATTTTTCACCAGAGAAATGATATTATTGCTATTTTCTAAAATTTTCCTTTCTGTATGATTGAATTTCATCTCATGCTACTCGATTGGTATGGGTTTTTCGCATTGGAGCAGAAAGAGAATGCAAGATGTCATTAGCCTATGTCATTGATGTTTCCTAGAATTCAGCGATAAATAAACTATCACTGATCTTTTGAACTAGAAGACATTTTGTGAATACGTCTCATATTAGGGTTCTTGCATTACAACAAGATTGTAGCAGAGGAACACCCTCACTTGGAAAAACCAGTGGTTATATAAAAAATATATGTTGCACGTTCATATAATTAACTATTTTGACGTAAATTTATTATTATACAAAAGAAAAAGGGAAAGATGATCATTATTTGTTCGTTAATATAATGTAATGCAAAAATTAAGTCAGCATACAAGATTGTAAACCTGATTTTATTTGTTTATGGAATCCATTCTTTTGATTAGTTTAAGTCAAACCAATGACAATGAAATCTGTATTCTTGCTTCTCCATTGTACAAGCAGCATTCAGGGGTGTGAAGAAAGACTATCGACACAGATTCACTATAAAAGCATGAATATGCCAGGTTAAGGGGATTTGCCTTCCTAGAAATATAACAATTTGAAAAAAAGCAAAACTAGTTAACATATAATATGTGTAACTCAAGATTAAGCAGTTGCTAATTTCAATCTTCTTTCTTTCTTTCTTTCTTTGTTTGTCTCTTTCTTTCTGTCTCATGCATAAGCTTCCTATCATAGGAACACACCTTATTGGGTAAATTAAAATTTGTACACGCATAGCTAAATAGTATTTTTTTAATTTTAAAAGGAGTTTAAGTCATAAATTTAAATTTAAGTTTGATTGGGTAGTCTGATTTCAGCTGAAATAACGATCTTTTATGAAATACGATAACATGGCATTATAATGTTATGAAATTAGGTGCACTAATATCGACACTCCTTGATTGAAATTTATCATTTATGATTTGTTTATCAAGTATGTTTTTTAGTAAACATTTTTTCTATGTTTATTTCAGAGTCCATTAGACATGTCCGAATATCTGGATAAGACATTTACAGTAGGTATTAAATAAATGAAATGAAAATTTAAAGTGTAATTATGTAGTCGAATTATACGGATAAACAAGATTTTTAATAAACAACATAGTTAGTTATAATAATGTATTAGACTGTCTAATCAGAGGTTTTCAGAACATGTTTTTTGTAAAGTTTTAACTAGTAAATTTTATATTGATTTTCTGCATTTTACATATTTCATTGAAAAATAATCTTAAAGATTCAAAGCAATATAGTATGAAACTCCAGAATATAAGTGCGCGGTTGCATTCGGCATAGTAATGGGCCCCATATATTTTTGTTCAAACATATTGTTTTTCTTAAATTGTTTAACATTTCACAGCGGTATTACATGTTACTTTATTCTTCCCTTAGTTTATTTATTTTGTATTTACATTGTATCATAGATCAAATTTATTTGTTCAGTGTATGTTCACTATTGTTAATATGTCTTTTGATTGAGTTAAGCCATTTTAATTGATATTTTACAGTGTGTCTTTCTATGTTGTGATGTTACCCTATTATTTCAGATAAGGGTGAAGGTTTAGTACCATTAAAATGTTTAAACCCGCTGCAATTGTTTGCACCTGTCCTAAGTCAGGAATCTTATGTTCAGTAGTTGTCGTTTGTTGATGTGGTTCATAAGTGTTTCTCGTTTCTCGTTTTTTATATAGATTAGACCGTTGGTTTTCCCGTTTGAATGGTTTTACACTAGTATTTTTTTGGGACCCTTTATAGCTTGCTGTTCGGTGTGAGCCAAGGCTCCGTGTTGGAGACCGTACTTTGACCTATAATGGTTTACTTTTATAAATTTTGACTAGGATGGAGAGTTGTCTCATTGGCACTCATACCACACCTTCTTATATCTATGAAATGTAATACTCTTATTGAAAATGTTGGGAATTATAAACTGTGATCAGCTCCTTGGTCGGGTTGTTGTCTCTTTGACACATTCCCCGTTTCCATTCTCAATTCTATTATGTTTTCTGTGTTTTTCTATACATTTAAATGTATGATTTAAATTGAATATGGATTCATTTACAGCCTTCAGCCCCGTTACAGAATTCTCCTTACATGCTAACAGAACTCTCTGTTCAATATTTAATTGTAGGCATTTAGTGGTTCTGGAAATAGATTAGATGGAAAAAAGATTGGTCTGAATGCTGCATCAGAAGTTAAAAAGGCAGTTCCACATAAAAGGTTAGAAAAACCTTATGTTATTGAAATCAATTTATTAAATACAGAGATGTAGCGCCTCTTTACATATCATCTCATTTATCATTCCAAGACTCCCATTTAAGGCCGAGGCGCTAGCAGATTGTCTTAAATAGTTTGAGGGATGATAGCTTGAATAACATGGAAAAAGCCGTGTCTTAAAGTGTTCATTATACCCCTGATTGTAGGTTCCAGGTAAGCAAAACACCGGTCTGTTATCCTATATAGTAGTTTGAATGTGATAAAATACCAATATGTAAATGAATATCCTTGTGCCATTTAATTTTATTTGAAATTGTAACTTTTTCATGTAGATAGAAACCAAACTGATATTGAAAATGAGGGAAATAATGGAAAATTTAATGATTCTTCCAAATCTTCAATCAATCACTCAGAATATTGATTATAAGTGGAAATGTCCTTTATCATTGGATTTTTGTTTGAAACCTTATCCATATATAACTGGTTTACACAAATGTGTATTTCTTGTACATTTTCTGTTTAAAATGTTTGTCTTACTGTTATTTAATTTATATATGACGTCATTTTCGTTTGAGACAATTGAACACTTTTTTGTAATTTTTAGGTTAAGTTTATTTTGTTTTCACATCCTTTTTTATCATAAATCCAAAATATACCTGAACATTTCAAAAAATGTTTATTAATTGAAAATATCATATAACCAGAAGTGGGACTCGTTAAGGGATGACAATAGGCCCCTAATAATGTATAATCAGCAAGGGTTGCACAGTTGATTTATTTGTGTATATTGTATTCAATTTAACAAGGAGACAGATTAACTTAAGCACTTGTTTCTGAATCTTATTTGTGAATGTAAATATATATTGTAATTCGTATAATTCACAATAAAATATTGTTTACACTAAGGGTTGCACAAAGAGCACTCACATTATGTTCATATGGGCTGCTTACTTTCTGCCTTATTGATACAACATGTAGCATATTTTCTTGAAGTATGTGATAATTATAGATTTTAAGATGAGTGCAATACCAATGATGTTGTATTTTTCACAATAGTTAGAAAAATGCAAACATTTATTAATTTACTATAACTCAAATGAATAGCATGTTAGAATGGAAGCCAAAATCTTTGAAAAAAAAAATATTTGAGAACCTTAGAGAAGAATATGAGAAAATATTAAAATGGATTTTAAACCTAAAAAACTATTAATAAAAGATCAGGGTTCCAAAGTCCCCGGCTGATTCACATATTTTTTTCTATCAAGGGCAATTACTCTGAATACTATAATTTTTATGTTCTTTTAAACATTTTCATAAATATAAGTAATAAGTTATAAAGACATGCAATCATTTACAATGACATTTTCCATATAATTTCTATTTCTCAGCGGGGATCACTCCTATAGAAATAGTTGTCCAATACCCTGATGATCTAAATATTGTATATAAAAACTATTTCCTGTTTATGAACTAGATTGTTCTATTTGATATATGTTGTGTGTAAAGTGTATGTTAATTATCAAACATGCTTCCTTTTTTATTGAATGCATTATTCTTTTGTAGTATATTTCTACTTTGATTTGGACAAGTTTTACCTCGATTAAGCTTAGTGTTTTATAAAATGTTACAACATTATTCAATATAATGTCATGTTTACAAAATTCAAATGCGTCTCAAAAGATATTCTTGTAACTGAAACATGATTTCCTTAATATTCAAATTTACCTAAGAAATCCTAAATGTTGGAAAAAGCAGTATAAACCCCAAAATTTAAAGGATTGTCAATATCAGAAAAGCTATTGATGCTTTTTTAACTTACAATATTAAGGTTGTTGCATTCACATTAATCTTATTTGAATTTCAGAGGAATTCCAAACTATAAACATAAGAAAGGTACCATAACATTTATCAGAACTCGAAGGAATATCACAGATAAAAACGAGGTAAAGTGATTCACTTTAAATGCCTTATTGGTCTTCAGTTCTCATTGACGCATACATTTTACCTCACATATTTTTCTTTCATATCTTATACAATAATAGAAACTTAAAAATAAATTCGGAAGAAACAAAAACGTTTGGATTATAAATCTATGGAACGATCAAACCTAGAATACTCTCTTCAGTTTGGTCTCCTAACACCCCCAAAAAAAAAATAATATCGAAAACGTACAAAGACGGACAGCACGTTACGTCACCAACAGGTACCATAACACCAGTAGTGTCACTTCCATGATTGACCATCTTAAATGGAAGTCACTTGAAACTCGCAGAAACATCAATCGAGTAACAATGATGTACAAAATCACACACCAACTTATAGCAGTAGATCCAAACCTGTACCTTTCATCACAGCCAGTCAAAAACACAAAATTCACCAATTCACTACAATAGTAAACATTCAGCGCCAGAACAGATTACTTTAAGTACAGTCTTTTCCCATTCACAGTTGTACTCTGGAATTCACTTCCACAAAACATCATCAGCGTAAACTCTTTTGATCAGTTTAAAATACTGATCCAAATTCAGTATATTTAGATATCTACCCTGTTTGTTAACATATGTAAATGTGTTTATTTTTAATTTTTGCACAAAATTATTTTTGAAAATTGTTATCTTTTAATAAGTGTCTGTTTGCGATGCGCCGACGTATAGTCATCAATGTGCTGATGGATCGTCGTAAAATGTAGATGTAGATGAAATAAAGGTTATGGTTATACTTTAATGATTACTGTTAAAGTATTTGTGGTGCATGCAATTTCAGAGCTTCGTTAAAAAATGGCCTGAAACTATTAGTTAAGTGTATAATTGTTTAATTTGCGCAACTGCTGTAGATGCAATTTCTTGCATTGTTTAGGTTTATTTCTGATGATTTACGATTTAAAAAAGTTTCTCGAATGAATTTTAATTAATTACAAGGTTTCAATATCAAGCAACAAATAATACTGTATAGTAAGCTATAAAAGGCCGCATCATGACAAAATGTAAAATAATTCAAACGAGAAAACCAACAGCCTGATTTAAACGGTATATAAAAACAATAAACGAAAAAGAGTTACTGAAATATACAACTTATTGTATTTATATTTCTGTTTAACATACAAACCTGTATAAATATGCACATGATCCAAACCAACCAGTTCATTTTTTAAATGGGAATTTTCTTTTCTGCAGGAGGAGGAAAAAAAATTCGAAGCATTTTCAGGTCCAGGTCAAATGTTAGGAAAGAAAGAAAGAAAACGAAAGGTTTATTTTCATCTGAATGGGGACTGAGGAACTGGCCACGAGATGTACAGAGAATGTTTATTTATTTATTTTTGTTAGAAAGAACTATTGTATTTCTTTGACATATCTGTCTTACAATATACTGCACATGTACATACATACTTGATTAGAGGATTAAAAACAATAGGAATATATTTGCAGAAATAATCTGTATGTGTTTATTTGCAATATATTCGAGAAATACAAGATTAAAATCCAATGTTCAGTCTCTAGTGTGTTTGCAATAACATATCTGTGAATTAAGTAAATTTTAGATTAGTATTTAGTGTTGCAAAAATTTTCATTAAATGATTTCTAATTACAAAATCACATATTTTTTTTCCTGAAGTAGACATTACAATTATACATGGAACAAACCTTTCGGAAGGGTTGCTTATAATTGCTTACATCCACTTTATTTGAACTTTAATGGATAGTAGTGTCATTGGCAATCATACCACATCTCCTTATTTTAATCTTGTATTGTCCATAGTAAATCAGTGATAAGGAATCTTTAGTTAGTTGTTGTATGCCCTTTTGTTATCTAAAGTAATATATAATGCATGTTTGACCGAAAATGTGTAGAGTTTATATAACACAGAAATTTTTCAAGTTATGTTTGTCGATTTATTTTTAAACCCTCCCTCTTTTTCATTGTGTAGTTACATTTTAGTCAAGCCGGCGACTTCTGTCACAGGAGGCGAGACATAGGTATAGTGATACGGCAGACGCGGTGTTAACTAACTACTTAAAAGCTTAATATTTCAGAAGATATAATACCTGGATGCTTAATACTTTGTATATGCATGCCTTATGATATGAAGTTTCCGTCTGTCATATGTCCATTGTCCTTGACCTCATTTTCATGGTTCAGTGACTACTTTTGTAATGTTAATTTCTCTCTTATAATGAGTATAGGATAACTATATTTGGTATGTGCGTACCTTATAAGGTCCTCATTTTTCACTTGACCTAGACCTCATTTCATCGATCATTGAACAAGGTTATGTTCATTATCTCAGATACTATAGGCTATAGGTCTACTATATTTGGTGCATGGAAGGATTGTAAGGTTTACATGTCCAATTGGCAGGTGTCACCTGCGTTGATCTCATACACATGGTTCATTGGTAAAAGTTAAGTTAATGTGTTTGGTCTGTTTTTCTAATACTGTATGCAATATGTCAACTATATTTGATGTATGGAAATATTTTACGATGTACATGTCAGTATTGCAAGTTTTATTTGACCTTGACCTCATTTTTATGGTTCATTGCGCTATGTTTTGGTCTGTGTTGTTTCTTAAAAGCAATATGTCAACTATATTTGGTGTATGAAATGATTTTTAGGTGTATATGTCTGTCTGGCAGGTATCATCTGACCTTTACCTCATTTTCATGGTTCATTGTTCAACGTTAATTTTCCTGGTAAAGTTTGTTTCTAAGATACTATAAGCAATTAGTCATCTATATTTGATGCATGGAATGATGTTAAGGTGTACATGTCTGTCTAGCAGGGTTCATCTGACCTTGAACTCATGTTCATGGTTCATTGGTCAATATAAAGATTTCATGATTTGGTCTGTTTCTTGAAAACTATAAGCATAGGTCAATTATATTCGATGTATGGAATAATTGTAAAGTGTACATGTATTTCCAGTTTTGTTTATCTATACTTGACCTCATTTTCTTGGATCAAGTTTATGTTTATGTGATTCTTGTAGTAAAACTTTATATTTAG